AGCGGGGGGGGGGGCGTGGCCGAGGGAGGGGGCGGAGCGGGCGGGGCTGGCCTAGAGGCCTAAGGTCAAGGAGGGAGGTAGTGGCTGTGCTCTCACTCGGCTGAGTGGGCGATGCTGTGGACGCTGGCCAGAGCGTTGGCTCTTCGGAGACCCGGCCGAGGCAGGGCCGGCTGGAGGGGGCTGTGGACCGGCCGCCCGCAGTCAGGTACCCTCAGACACTAAGAGCCCAGACTCCCTGAGGAGAGAGCTCGCGCCTCGGGAGCGCCTGTCGTGCGCAGCCATCTCCTCAGGCTAGGCGACAACGCAGGGCTCGCTGCCGCGTTCCTGCCCTGCTTCTCTTCTCCACCCCTACCTTCTAGTTCCCCAAGTTTTGGTAACTTTTAAAAAACACTACCTCCCGTCAAAAGCTTACCTTTAGAAAGCAGACTGCTGCCTTGCTAACTTAGAGAGCCTGTGCTAATTGATTGGACCAACCCCTGTTTTTCAGTTCTTGTGGAAGTTGACAAAGTTAGGAAAAAAGATTTTTTTTTAAAAAAAAGGAAATTTAACTTCAACTTTAAAAATCTTGTAATTATAGAGAAACGGGATAATTCAGGAATGCCATCTTCTGCATAAGATACCTGTTTCAGATATTATTGTATAAGATGGAATTTCAAATTACTAGTTTTAAGGAGTTCCCCTTAGTCCTTCAGAATACTGAAATTGGCTCGGGGAATTTTGAGGCTCATTAAATTTGACCAGTGTATGGGCCTGTGGAGATTTTGTTTGTTTAGATTTTTTGTGTGTATGAGTGTTTTGCCTGCGTTTATGCACATGCATCTCTTACATGCCTGATGCCTTTGGAAATCAGAAGGAACTGGAGAAAAGTGTGGTTGTGATTTACCATGTAGGTGCTGCCAACAACTGGGTCTACAAGAGCAGTAAGTCCTTTCAACCACTGAGCTCCTGTCCCCTGTGGTTTTCATTCAGCCAGAGCACCCTTGCAGAGCATTTTGGCCTCTCTTCAGTCTCAGCCATCTTCACTGGCCCGACTAAAGAGTGTCTTGTCAGATTTATTTTTCATTAATGGAGACACAAACACAGGGGTTTTTTTAAATTTTTGTGGTGGTGGTTTATTCTTGGGCAAATCTGTTGGACTTTCTTGTTTTCTTCGTTTTGTTTTGTCTGGGACAATTTCCTAATATATACCCCAGGCTTGACCACATTTCTTTGTTCTGAAGACTAGTTATATAATTAGTCATGAAAGGATAATCTCACCATCAAGATATAGTGATATGATTAAAGCCTGCAGACTACAGTTTATCTAACATTTGTATTGTTCTAAAATTTTCTAAACATTTTCTTTAGCTTAGTATCTGGCAGTTGGGCATTCATACTTACTGAATAAATAAGTCACATATATCACACATATATGTAGTGATATTTATGCTGTATTAAAGCTTGCCTAAGGATTCAGAAAGCAAAGTCAGCCACAAGCCATAGAAGCCAGGTACTCACTTTTAATCCCAGCAGCTAGAAGCTAGGAGGTGGTGGTCTACACCTTTAATCCTAGGACTCAGGATTTAGAGGTAGAGGGATCTCTCTGAGTTCAAGGCCACCCAGGGAGATTGAATCAGTCTAAAAGAGTAACATCACATGCCTTTAATCCCAGCACTCGAGGGGTATAAAAAAATAGAAGCAGGGTCTTCAGTATTCAGTAGGAAGCATTCACTCTCCAGCAATGCTGAGGAGAGCGCATGGATCAGCGCTTTCAGCCTGAGCTAGTGACCACCTGCTTTGCTTTTCTGAAACTTGAAACCCAGTATCAGTCTGTGGGTCTTTTATTTTTCCTGTTACACATGATTCAATAGTAATATCAGTGATTTAATAATCTACACTACAAGGGGAGCCAAGAAGTAGAGTGATGGGGACCAAAACTACATTTATTATGTATTTCTATAACTGTCAGAAGATATGCAGAATTGTGCCTCAGTTGTTCAATATTATCTTTTTACTTGAATTCTGTTTCTAGAGTGGAATCAAGTCTAGGGCCTTGTGCATTCAAGACAAGCTGTTTACTATTGAGCTTCAGTTTATCCCAGGTCCCCAGAATGCTCTTATATCTATCTACACAATACACTAAAAATCTGGGAGAGGAAGATATGCAATGGAAAATTTTGCCAGGTAGATTATTTAAGACAGTGTACCTACCTACACATCTGTACGTATACATAAAGGTTGTCCAAAACTGAATCTTTAATCATATGAAATTCAAGATCCATTTTAATCTCTTTTTACAGAGTTTCTTCTTTCAAATGACAATTTTGGCAAGAACAGTTAAATGATTTGTTTAAACTCACCTAGCAAGATCAGAATTCAGACTTTCTGAATTCCAGAGATTTTTTTTTCCCTCTTAGAAATACAAATTAAAGCAGGGCGTTGGTGGCACATACCTTTAATCCCAGCACTTGGGAGGCAGAGGCAGAGTGCCAGGATAGGCTCCAAAGCTACACAGATAAACCCTATCTCGAAAAACAAAAACAAAAACAAAAACAAAAAAAAAGAAAGGAAGAAAGAAATACAAATTAAAGCAGGGCGTTGGTGGCACATACCTTTAATCCCAGCACTTGGGAGGCAGAGGTAGGTGGATCTCTGTGAGTTAGAGACCAGCCTGGTCTATAAGAGCTAGTTCCAGGACAGGCCCCGAAGCTACACAAGAGAAACCCTGTCTCGAAAAACAAAACAAATGCAAATTAATAGTTGATTATTTGAAAAACAAAACTTTTTAAAAAAGCATATAAATTTTGAAGGTGTCCAGGCATGGTGACATATGACTTTGTTTTTTGTTTGTTTGTCTTTTGAGACTGTCCTAGAACTCAGATCCACCAGCCTCTGCCTCCTGAGGGCTGGGATGGAAGGCATGAGCCACCACCACCCAGTGTGAAACATGTCCTAGTATCTGAGAAGTAGAGGCAGGTGGAATCTCTGTAAGTTCCAGTCCAGCCTCAGCCTCATCTACATACTGAGCTTCAAGATGGCCAGAGCTTTACATAATAGAGACCCTGTCCAAAAAAAAAAAAAAAAAAAAAAAAAAAAGAAAAGGAAAGAAACAAGAAAAAAAAAAGAAGAAGAAGAAGAAGAAAGAAAGCGGTACTGTGGAGTTTCTTTTGAATTCACAGATTATGAATATACTTTTTTTTTTTTTTTTTTGGTTTTTCGAGACTGGGTTTCTCTGTATTGCTTTGGAAGCTGTTCTGCAACTCGCTCTGGAGATCAGGGTGGCCTTGAACTCACAGAGATTTGCCTGCCTCTGCCTCCCGAGTACTGTGATCAAAGGTGTGCACCACCAACGCCCGGCTATAAATATACTCTAAGCTAGTGAACCACAACTGTAGTCAGGGTATTCCTAAGCTTTAGACTGGGATTTACAGTTTGACTGGCTGAGCTGGTGAGCCCAAGAGCCCCATACTGAAAATTTCCTTGTAGTTGTAGTGATTTTAGTGAAAGCATGAGGGGAAGGAAATTTTAGTTGTGTTTCCTGGAAGTGTAAAAACTAGAGAATTGTAATGATGGCTGTGAGTATATAGTAGCTTTCTCATGGAGGGAAAAGGAAATTACCCATTTTTGTTAGCAAATAGACATGGTTCCTGCAAAAAGAACAGCACACACAGTGTAGGGATGACCTTAGGCCCCTAGGCCAGCCCTTACCCCCTCTATCCAGGCCCTCGGGCCCGCCCCCCTCAGGTACACACCATCACACTCTGGTGCTGGCTTCTGCCTCAGGACAGCTGCTAGCTAGGTGTTGTCTTTAGTTAGCATTGTATATATAGACATGAATAATCTCAAAACTCTCTGAGTTCTTGAGAACTCTGTGGTGGTAGTGTTTTAGATTGCAGAAATTAAAGCAAGTAACAAGATGAGGAAACAGAAGTGTGGATATGAGTGGAGTCTGCTTGTTTCTATAATGTTGCAATCTTTATTTAGATTATCTAAAATGTATGTGTGTTTACAATGGATATCAATTTAATTTCTTTTCATCAAGTCATATTTTCAAAACAAAACACAAATATAAAAACGGTAACAAAAACCTGCTTGAGAGCCCAATATATATATATATATATGAACAATGTTTAAAACAGACACCAAGGAACCAGAATTCTGCTCACCTTCTACCCTGCAAAGAAACTCTTGGACCCCTCTGAAGAATTCCCAGATCTCAAGCAAAAAATTCTGAACACACCCCATTTTAGGTAAATGGCAGTAATCAGTGCTTTATGTAACTGATATTTTGGTTACTTGCACTGTGTCTGCAAGAAGTAAATATTTTCATGTTTCTGCATTTCTAACACTTTCTAAATGGAAACTGGGTTAAAGGACAAGCCTTGGAAGTTAAAGGATGATTGATTAGATAGTTTGGAGTGTTTATAGTTAAAGGAATATAAACCGAGAGGCTTAGATGCATTCTCAGGACTGAAAACTCAGTGAGGTTGCTGTCCCCCTGGAAAGGCTATTTATATCCCCCACAGGGTAGAATCTCAGTATCAGTTCAATTTTTCTCCCAGGGAATATTTGCTTCCATTTATCAGAGGAGGGTGGCAGCTGGACTATCATCCTGCACAAACTCCTAGATTCATAATTTTGGGGGTCTTCTCTTGTGGTTCAACCCCTGTAATTTGGTTACCGAGAAGTGAATATATGATTAGCTCTATTTGTTCATTAATAAGAAGGGGTGAATCTGCTTCAAACACAGTAAATCACTTAATATTTCCATTAACAAAACAAGATTTACAGGACCCTTTTTTTTTTAAGTCTCTTAAGATTCAAATTCCATTGCTTTGTTAAAATTTTTATTCCCTTTCCATTTCTAAGTATGTATAGTGATCAGGCACAAGAGAAATGTGTTATACATATTTATGTCTTTCCACACTAATAATTTTCACCCATGCATGACACATGAATTAATGCAGTTATACCAGCAGAAGTCTCCATTGAAATTAATAAAAAAAAACTTACCGAAATAATTCTATATGAAGAAATAAAAGAGTTAAAAGGAGTAGATGTGAGTTTCAAAGAAACATTGAGATGGATTGTTGAGGGTAGGAAGTTTATTAGAAGGGCTATTAATACCATGAACAAATAGATACCAGCATGGGGCAGGGCTCTGAAGAAAGTTTAGAGACAGAGAAATTGGTGGGTACTCTGCAACAAAATCAGACTCATGAGGCA